ACATCTCCTATACCGATACCCTCGTCGCCTTGGCAGCTCCTGACTATTCTGTCCATGTACAACACAAACATGGGGGACAGGATGCAGCCTTGGCGGAGACCAATGCCAACGGTGAAAGTCTCAATTTAATGTCATTTACTCTGACAGAGCACCTGCTACTATTATATAGTGACTGAATGGTTCCTAGCAACTGTGAATCGACCCCACCCGCGTGCAGGATGTCAATAACTTGCTACACGGGATCCAGTCATAGGCTGTCCACAGGTAAAGAAAACAGATGCAAACTGGATGAGTAAACGTCCGCGATTTCTCAACAATCTGGATTAAAGAAAATATTTGGTCAGAGGTGCTTCGTCTCGACCTTTAATGATACTGCACTTCTTGAAGTTATTCGGCCGCCCCTCCTTTAAAACAATTTTCCCGGGATGCTCAATAAAGTAATGCCCTGATAATTTGAGCACTCCACATGGCCTCTCTTTTTGAACTGGGGTACCGTAATTCCAGTTCTCCAGTAGTACACTGGAGTTTTCCTCGTAGCCACTGCAGTTTGAGAGACAGAGGTTAGCTACCTCATGAATTGTTCACTTAAAGTTTTAGTCATTTCAGTGCGGATATCATGGATTTGCAGCTTGCCACATTCCAGGCTTGTGATGGCCTCTGTGATTTCATGTACTTTAGGGTTAAGATTCGTTGCTTGCTGTTCTTCAGACCGGTTTTCCAGTTATTGCTGAGAATACTTTGTTTTTCGTCGAAATATATTCATATCGATAATGAAAGGGCATTCAGACGTATCTGTCTGGACTGATAGGCAATCATTAATGCCAACTTGGAGTCAGCAGATGGTCTGGCAGGATAGCTTGTTTGCCGTTTTCACATTTAAGCGCTCCAGCAAATATTTTCCAGGATTTATCTTTCGCTCTGACATCACCCGTGCCTCTTCCTACTGTGTTCCAGTTTGAGCATCTCTGTTACCAAAAGGAAAAGAGAAGTTCGCCACCGTTGGAATGCCGGTCTTCCTTCATTTCTATGATGGGAAATTTTTGTATCTATCTTTTCACGAAGTTGATGGTGCAGTGCTGATCTCCATTTCTACACCATCAATCAGGAGTTTCTTATTTTAAAGACGGAATCTACAGCTATGTGGCATGTGTGATGTGCAATCCCTTAATTCCTTCTCACAAAGTGGTATTCATTTGTCAACCTTAGAAGGACGAAATACGAGGAACTCTGATTGGGACTTGAATTCGAAATCTCTCGGTTCTGAGTTTGACCTATGCCAACAGAATAACTCCAGTTTGGAGCAATACGCAGTAAATTCCTTCCTCAAGGAAATCTGTGAATTAGACAAATATTGCACACTGTCGTAATCAAACCTTGCACCTACAGATTTTGAAGCAGGCCTGCCTGTTAGATACTGTATCATCAGCCCATAGCTTGGTTTTCCGCAGCTCATTTTGCTACCAAGACATGTCTTGAATTCAACCTTCTTCTCAAGTACAGTTAGTTGAGCTTCTCCTGTCCATCTAAAAGTTCGCTTCTGACCTCAAGGCGGCATACCAACCCG